ATCTGTTTTATATCCTTAGAATTTAAAATGTTTAAGGCAGGGATTTTATTTTGTTTACTGCTATATCCCCAGTGCATGGAATGATGTCTAGCATAAAAGAAGAGCTTAATATTTTACATGAATGATAATATCAAGCAATATTTTTGAAGTGCTTCCATTATGCCAGGTACTCTAAGTACTTTACAAATTTATTTTCTCATTTAATCTCTATAACAAACTTGTGAGATTTAACAACCTTTTTAATGTGATGTCCAAAACTCTTTAGTGGCCTATGAACACCTTGCTCTCTGAGAAAAAAAGAAAAGGTTGATTTGTAGCATTTGCAGATTATTTGTGGTGTGAATACTCTGTGGCTGATTTCTGAATCTGTGAAATATCTGTGTGGGATAATAGACCGGGCTGAGGGACACCCTCCTCCCCACACACAAATCTCATGCACTGGGCCTCTAGTCCTATATAATAAAGGGCTAATATGCAAATCAATCAAATGGTGGAATGACCAATTGCTATGATGCACACTGACCACCAGGGGGCAGACAACGCAGGAGCTGCCACCTGGTGGTCAGTGTGCTCCCACAGTGGGAGCGCCACTCAGCCAGAAGCTGGGTTCACAGCTGAGGAGTGCAGCGGCAGTGACAGGAGCCTCTCCTGCCTCCGCAGCAGCACTAAGAACCCTTTGCGGACATCCTCCGAGGAGTCCCTGACTGTGAGAGGGTGCAGGCTGGGCTGAGGGGCCCACCCTCAGTGCACGAATGTCATGCACCAGGCCTCTAGTATCTTATAATTTAAAACACCAGACCAATTCTGTATAAATAAATAAATAAAAAGTGAAGAACATCATAGTCAAGGAATAGAATATGCTAAAGGCTTTATAGCAGGAGGAAGCATGGTGTCTTAAAAGACCTGGTAGAAGGCCATGTGGCTGTAGCAAAGAAACTTATGAGGAGGCAGACCATGCAGAGCCTTCTAAAACTAGGTAAGGTGACTCTCTTATTAAGTATTGTCTCAGTACCAAAGCCACTCTTCTGCTTTATAATTTTGGGTTTGGGACTCTGCAAACAATATTTCTCCTTGATACTGGCTCTCTGGTAAGCTATCCCAATAGATACTACTAGAGGGGCACTGCAGGATGGAAGGAAGGATGGAAATTTCCTTCCTATTAGCTTCCTGTTTCTATCAGCAAAACTTCTTAGTTCTGGCAGAGGCAGTGTCTTCTCATTACGGCAGCTGAATCAGTTTATGGTTTCCCAACACTTACAGACCCATCTCATTACTCCTTTAGAGACACCAGCATCAAACTGTCCAGTGCCCCCTACTTACAGGTCCAGGCCCAAAACACATGGGGCCCTTCCTCTGAGTCCTGAGACACAGCACCCTCCAAGCAGCACCTCCTTTTCTGAGGTCTGAGTTTCAGCTCTGTTTGACCCCTTCTTTAAGTTTCTGTGTTTTAATAATTTCAACTTCTATCCTTTGTTTCTTCATCCTGGGGGTGGTAGCTGTTCCTACAATTACTACTTCCATACCTTCAATTTCTCCTCTTCTTCAGTTATGCAGTTAATAATCCATTATATTAAATTCTCCCTCTTCAAATAACATGTGATTTCTACCTCCTTACATGACCTTGACTGATATATAAGGATCTAATATTTACTCTACAACGTCCACTTCAAATGTTACTTTCTATGTGTGAGTTTTTCCATTACTCTCAGACAAGATTATTCCTCTAGTTAATTCTTAATGTCTTTGTTAAGGCCTATAGGTTTCTGTTTTCATAATCATATGTGAAATCACACCCAGATGCCCACAATTACACTGAAACTCCTTCGCTCTCCTTTGATACTTTTTCTCAATAGCACTGTCATCATTTTAAATATTATATATTTTAATTTTTTTGTTGTTGATTTTTTACAGAGAGGAGGGAGAGGGATAGACAGCCAGAAACATTGATGAGAGAGAAACATTGATCAGCTGCTTCCTGCATACCCCCCACTGGGGATGTGCCCGAAACCAAGGTACATGCCCTTGACCAGAATCAAACCCGGGACCCTTGAGTCCGCAGGCTGATGCTCTATCTACTGAGCCAAACCGGTTCTGGCTATTATATATTTTATGTTATGTGTTTCTTTCTTTGTCCATCTCCCACGATTTTTATGGTGCCAGGGTCTGGAATATCTACAGAACCCCCATCAGACTACCATGGTGCACTGATAAACTTGCTCTCAAAAAAAAAAAAAAGGTCTGATGTGTAGTGTTTGCCAATATCCATAGTGTAAATAGTCCCACACTCCCATTATAGCCTATTTTCAGCTACCAACTAAATGCTGAATATTTAATAACCAGCTCTTGCAAGCCAGTACAAGCTGGCTCCGGTATTCACTGTATGTCTGTGACACTGAGTGAGTTATTTAACCTCTTAAGTCTCTGTTTTCCGGTCTGCACCCTCTCCAATCTGGGACCCCTTGGGGGATGTCCAACTGCCCACAAGGATCGAGCCTAAACCGGCAGTCAGACATCCCTCTCGCAATCTGGGACCGCTGGCTCCTAACCGCTCACCTGCCTGCCTGCCTGATCACCCCTAAACATCCTGCCTGTTGGCCTGCTCACCTCCAACTACCCTAGAAATATCTCCTATTCTTTTAAGGACTAATCTTTCCTCCTGACTGGTTTGGCTCAGTGGATTGAGCCTCAACCTGAGGACTAAAGGGTCCTAGGTTTGATTCCGCTAAAGGGCACATGCCTGGGTTCCGGCCCGATCCCCAATAGTGGGTGTGCAGGAGACAGCCGATCAATGATTCTCTCTCATCATTGATGTTTCTCTCTCTCCCTTTCCCTTCCTCTCTGAAATCAATAAAAATATATATTTTTTAAAAAGGACTGACCTTTCACAATTTTATGCAAATTTCTTTGGGATATGTCACTACAATGCTCTTAATATTCTGGCCAGAACAAACAAGTATTTGAAACAAATGCCAAATTCCCTCATTAGTAGATGGATAAATCAGGCAAAAATCATATGGGTGGCAAAATTAATTCCATCTCTATGAAATGGGCTTGAGTTTCTCATTATATAATGACTTAGGGGAGAGCGGGGAAGTCTCATTCTGCCCATCAATGATTTGAGAAGAATTGTTGGAGTCTATCAGGTAGACTGTGTTAACATAGTCTTTTTTAAAAAGGTATGTTTTAGAGAAAGGAAGGGAAAGGGTGAGAGAGAGAAACATCGATCGGCTACAAACTGGACATGTGACCTGACCAGGAATCAAACAGGTGATTTCTCCCTAGCTGGTTTGGTTAGTGAATAGAGTGTTGGCCCTTGGACTGAAGAGTTCCAGGTTCGATTCCAGTCTAAGGGTGTGTACCTTGGTTGCAGGCTTGATCCCTGGCCTTGGTCAGGATGCGTGCAGGACTCACATTGATGTCTCTGTCTGTCTGTCTCTCCCCCTCCCTTCCACTCTCTCTAAAAATCAGTGGGAAGATATCCTCGGGGTGATGATTAACAAAAAGAAAAAAAAAGAAAAAAAAGAAAGGTCTATCTTTATGCTGTGATATTTGCACAATTAACAAGTCACAATACTGGAATTAAGGGGAAAAGATTAGCTCACCTTTTCTAACAAATTATGCTTCTGTAATGATTTTCAACACTTAAAAATTAGAAGATTTGAATTTTCAGGAAAAGGAATAGGAAAACATTACTAACTATGCAAAATCTATTAACCCTCTAAGAGAAACACTGTATGCAAAGTTAACTCAAAATGGAAAGCCTCTTTACATATACATTTCCTCCAAATAATTTGCTTAGCAATAACAGAAGTTAACTTTTTGGAGAATTACGTATTTGCCAGACATGTTACAGACATCATCTCATTCAATCCTCACTACACTAGTAGGCATTCATTCATTCCTTTACTGAGTGTTCACCTGGCTGGGCACATGGCTGAACGCTGAGAATTCATTTCATTATTGGCCTAGGTCAGTCTCAGGAAGCTTAGCCTCCTAATTATATTACCCCCTTCCTCGTAGGAGAAAATGGAGGATAAGTCTCAGGTAAACTTATTTTTCCAAGGTCACACAGTATTGGAGCAGCTACAGAACCAAGGTATATCATTTCAAATCTTTGCCCTCAATCATTAAGCAGTTAGTAGACTTTTATAAGATTTTTTATTGTATGTCATCTAATTTTTTTTCAAACATTTTCCTCTCTGCTCCCTTATTTTTCCCAGTATTGACCAAAGAACAAGTGGTGAATTTATACTCTTAAATGCCAGGCATCTAGGAGACTTCAGGGGTGAGGAGCCAAGCCAGGAATGTGGGGGACAGACATCTTTGAAGAAAGAATAACACATACACAAGGCAGATCCTCTGCTCAGGGAAACAGATTGTTGTTTTTATTCACCTCTTTGCCTTTCTCTACTGCTTCCAAGACGGTTTTGAAGCTGGACAGCTGAGACAGAGCCTAGACCACCGGCTCCCAAAGTCCGGGACATCTAATTTTTATTCTGCAGCCCTTCGCTCTCTACCCCTGTCCGGTCTCTTCCTGCATTCTCTGTTAGGTGGTTTTCACTTCTTCAGCCTTGGTGGATAGTCTACCTGACTATTTCAGTTTTACACGATCGCCATATGGACTAGGCTGCCTTATGGCGGGCGACCTTGACAGACATCTGGGTGGGAGGCCCAGGGGAGGGTGGGGCGGTTGGCTCTGAGGCTAAAACCTTCAGATCGCTGTAAGGAGGCGCCACGAGGAAGTGGCGACAACAGAGTTCCACTCAGCGTTGAGTTTCCTAAAAGACTGACAGTAATTGCACCAACTGCCTTTGCTCTAGCAACTTGCGCGGTCCCGCGAGATACAGACGCTAAGCCAGAGGGAGGAGTCAAGGGCGCCTGTCTGGAAGGGGGATGGGAATATCAATGGCGCAATCATTGCGCGAGATTGGGCTATAGTCGCTAGGGCCTTTCTTAGATCTCGCGATATTTCGGCCTATTCAGTCTGGAAATAGTGCAGCTTCTCGCGAGAGCCCGTGCCGAGGGCTCTTGGAGGCCCCGTGTGTTTGTGTGTATATGCGTGTTAGTGAATGTGAGTACGGGGAAGCAGCGGCCGCCATTTCAGGGAGTCTGCGGACGCTGTCGCAGGGTTGGATCCTGAGCTGCCGAAGTCTCCGTCCTGCACTCCCGCGCGGCTTCCCTAATCCCATTGTTTCTTTTAGATTCGCTCAGGCCTATCCGCCCTCGGAGCCCGAAATCCGGGCTGGGCGTACCGCGGCCCGGGCCTAGAGTCTTAACTGTAGCAACAGCGGCGGCGGCGGCAGCTGCAGCAGCCCTCCTCTCCGAGCACGAGCACCACAGGGGCCCAGAAGCCCGCGCAGGTAAGGCGATGTGGTTGACCGGAGTATTGTCAGAGGCTTTTTTGCGGTATGGGTCTTTTCTGGGTTGCGGACGCTCTTTTCAGGCGGTCTTTAGCGACGGGGGGAGGGCAGGTTTTCGAGAAATCGGCCCCATTTTGACGACCGCGCCCTTCTTTTCCGGTCGGGTATGTTTCAGGGGTTTTGGGTGGTACGAACCCCGGAGAGGTCTCGGGCAAATGGCGACCAGCCCCTTGGAGGCCTGGGCCGGCCGCGACCTCCCAACATGGCGCCAGCCGAACGCAGCCATGGCTCCCAACCCCTCCCAAGCGAGGCAGTTCCCCTGGCTTCTAAAATGGCAGCGCGGGTTCTGCGCGGAGAGAGGCCTTCTCGCTTGAGATTCCCGGCTTCTGTTTTTGGAGTTCATTGCGGACTTTGTAAAGTCGAACATTTCCTCGACTTTTCATGTGTTCTGTCTTAGAGGCATTTCAGATTTAATTGCCAAGCCTGTTAAAGTACTTTCATCGTGCCTTGGCTTTTTTTGCAAAGGTTTTTCTGAAGTTTTGTAATATTCGAGTAAGACATTGAGCAGAATTGAAGAATATTTATTCATAGAATTACCTTATTGTTTTCATAGGCGTTTAGAGAAAAATGGCAGACGATATTGATATCGAAGCAATGCTTGAGGCTCCTTACAAGAAGGTGAGAAAAAACATGTTGGTGAGGTCTATATATTTCTTAATTTAGCATTATTCACGAAACTACTGCTGAAATGTAAACTAACCTCCCCGGAGCCCTCTTGATTTATCTTATCAGAGATGCATTACGTATAACTTACAAAAGTAAATATATGCTATTGATGTAATAATATTGTGCAGTAGTTTCACTTCAGCGTGATGAATAAATGCCCATCTATCTCTCTTTGTAGACTTGCCTAACGATATCTCACCTCTACTCCCATGAATTCACCTTTGATTCCAGTGTGAACTGTCAATCATAAGGTAGTAATTGAGTGACTTATCGCTGTACCGTGGTCCCCTAGGTAAAATGACTCAACTAAGAATTACCAGCTCCAGTTTGGTATAGCAAAAAGGTGAATGTAGTGGTTTGGGAAAATAGCAGGGGTCCAAGAATCACAAAGTACAACCAGTCTGTGGCAAGCAAATATTTAAGTCTTACAAGAAGAAATGGGTGAGATTTAAAATTTTTTCTATGTATACATATAAAAGACTGGTGATATTAAAAAGTAAAACAGGCAGGTGATGAACTGCTGCTCAATTAAAATTACTAAAATTCTTGGATCCCTGAATAGAAAAAAAAAAAGGCAAAAGAGGCAGTATCACAACTTAGAGTCACTTGATGACTGTTTTACTGTTCTCCATATTGTTTTATTTTTAATTAGTCCCTGCCATATTTCACACTAAAAACTACAAAGGAATTATTTTGGCTAATAATAATAGTCTTTGACCCATTTCAGTATCACAGTAAAAATAAAGTGTCTTTTCATTCTTTCACCAGTTGGTGGTGAAAATAGCAGTATGCATGCATTATCACTGGTGTCACAAACTGTAAGCTTTGTAAGTTAGCAGTTATACTCCATTAACTCATGTAATCAAACTTTAAAATAAACATTGCGCTAAACCTTTTAAAAATAATACATTTGTTTTTGAGTGTGTAGCACGACCATGTGGTACCAATTTGGATGAATTCTTTATAGCTTTAAATAGTGTACATAGTTTGTAATGCTTAAGACTCTTGAAGAGTTTTATATTTTAATGTTAAGATTCTTGTGTCTTAGTTTAACATGGATGAAATTCCATGTAAACAGGTATGGAAGTAGGAAATGTTTAGGTTGGACTGGTGGATTATTAATTGACTTTCTTGGGTTCTTGAGAGTCAACATTACTAAAGCAGTGTGAATCCCTGTTTGCTTCAGGGCGAGATGTGTGACAGAGGTGGCATCAAGCTCTTACAGTCCCAACCCTCCAACGGAAATGGGCGAAGATCTCAGGAATGGCATCGGTCACAGGAAATCGATAGTGGCTGGCTGCTAGCATGGCCACTTGGGGCTTAGGCAGAAATAGAGCCATGGTACTGACCAAAGGGACCATAGAACATCGAATAAAACTCAAAACAGGACTTCATTCATGTTTTAAAGAAATTCTATTTAACTACTTCAACACTGTAAATCTGGATAACTTAATATCTATATAAGAAAGTAAAATTTAACATGTTAATATGTATTTTTTTATTTTTGTGTCTTGATGACTTAATTGTAAGCAACAAAGTGGTTAAACACATACCCATCTAAATTTTTTTATAGCCTTCCATGTTAAAATATGAATAAGTAATTAGTTTTAAAATTGTTTTGTATTTTCTTATTCCTATTCCCTTTACCCTTTGACAACTTGAAATGTTACCACTTCGTCCTCATGATGTTCTTCTATCAACCCTGCTTAGGATGAGAACAAGTTGAGCAGTGCTAATGGCCATGAAGAACGTAGCAAAAAGTAAGTTTTAAGAAGGGATCTGGGGTGGGGGAGTTCTATGTGTTTGGGATCTTATTAAAGTTTTGTTCCTCTGGCTGAAGCATCAAACTAAGATTCTCTCCTGAAACTTTTCTTTTCCTCTTTTAGAAAAGTGGTTCTTTATCGTTTGGGATGAGAAACTATTTGAGGATATAAAACTATGGACTCTT